TTCTGTTTTCCAGGGACGTGAGGTTCAGCTCCTTTAGCCTTTCATCGTAGCTCATACCTCTCAGTTCCGGGACGAGACTGGTGGCATACCGCTGAATCTTCTCTAGCTTTGTCTTGTATTTAACTAGGTATGTACTCCAGGCTGGAGCTGCATATTCCAGGATTTTTCTGACATTAGTGGTATACAGGGTCCTGAACGATTCCTTACACAAGTTTCTAAAAGCAGTTCTTATGTTGGCCAGTCTAGCATATGCCGCTGATGATATCCTTTTGACGTGGGCCTCTGGGGACAGGTTCGATATGATATCAACCCCCAGATCTTTCTCTCTATTTGATAAACCTTGATAAATGTAAGTTCGTCCTAAAATTTGGTTTAATAACACATTTTCACATGAATTGGGTCATTCCTTCATCGTCATTCAAACACTACGGTATTATTTTACTTAAGTTAGTTGTAAATGATAATGTAAAAATAGCCACTGAGGTCTGATTAAGACTTTATGACCATGTAATCTATGTTTTGCTCCACTACTCACTGGTTGAGTATGGGGTGCATAATAAATTAGCCTCCTTCGGCGGCGCCTTGTTTCTAAATGTGTTTCAAACTCACACTGTATCTTGTGCTACCCACTCTGCCAACTCAAATTTTACTACAATGTACCTTCTTGTATATAAATAAATAGATTTCAACTGTAAGGGGTATGGTTTGCACCTTGTTCTTCTAATAATGGATGTCTTCTCTGATAAGAGTTCAATCCCCGACCGCCGAAATGGTTGGGCACCATCCTTCCCTCCCCCCATGCCATCCCAAATCCTTAACTTGACCCCTTCCAAGTGCTATATAGTCTTTGTGGCTTGGCGACCCCCCCCCCCCCCTGAGAGTTCTCTTCCCTTCCCTTCTCTGATAAGAGTGCGCTTTGTTAACAAACAAAGTAATAAAAACAGTGCGCTAATGATTGTTAATGGAAGCGCTAATTATATGATGAAGTGTCATGTATTTATTCAGACGAGAACAGCAGCGAACACAAACCAGCGCATATACGAACGAAATGGTTTGTATGTACAAACTTCTCAGTGAACGAAGTTGCTTCTAGTGCGGCATCCAAAACTGCAGTAGACGACTTGACCAGTCCCCGACTTTTAGGCAAATTTTGAGTGTTGTTAAGTTAGACTTGGAGTGAGCACATAGCGGTCAATGGTGGTGGGTCTCCTTTATGACAGGTCGAGGTTGCAAAATAAATTACCATTCACGCAGAGCTCTTGGCAATACTTTTTCTGCATTTTTTTCCAACCATTTTCTACAACGCATCAGAGCTGTAGAGGGAACCACATTCAAAGTGCCCGCCAAGGAAGACATTTCATAGTGTAGGCAGGACTGCGCCCTGATTTTTGGACGGCGACAGCGTACATCCTTCCTGCGCAGGCTGGAGAGGGCCAAGAGGGACAGAGATGAGCTACACGTGACCCAGCGCGGACGAAGCCCACCCGACACTACTTGTATTTAGGATATGTACTGACTGGCTTACTGACGAGGCTTTGCCATCCTCTACCCTACCCTTCCTGAGAAGCCTAGACTTGCTTCACCTGCCTTTCCCAACCTACCTTCCCCGACGACTACAGCTCAAGGTGAACTATTATTTATTTATTTATTTATTTATTTATTTATTTATTTATTTATATATATACAAGAAGGTACATTGGGTTTGTGAGAATACATTGGATAGTACAGTATTTACATTCTTGTAAAGCCACTAGTACGCACAGCGTTTCGGGCAGGTCCTTAATCTAGCAGATAATTTTAAGTAGGTAATTTCTATCAGAATTGATAAATGATAAAGATAGTTATATTATACTTAGTATTATATCACCCCATTGTTACACCACGTGGCAACCTTCTCCACAGAGCATAAAGTATTCCGTATCATAATTTCTTGGCTGTAACAAAAGTCTTGAGGGATAATCATTTATACGCTGTAAATTATAAATTATTGAGAGCTATCAAGGCTCCCCATAGGTAGATTACTGCCCTCTGGCAGGATGCAACTACAAAGGTGGTTTAAATCACGGGGAAAAATCCTCAATTTATGGCTAGATAACATAACATTTGAAGAGGCACATGAGCCAACGAGATATGAAAGACCCATATCTAATCTTTCATGACACGAGATTGTAAGCAGAACATTCATGTATGATCCCAAGGAGTTGAACCCTTCAGTAAAGTTCAAATATCAGAATATATTTTAGAAACTGTATCAAAAATAATTATGATTGCATTAATTTCTAAAGGATTTTTTTTCTTATTTATGAATTATTCAGAAACATCACTATCTAAAATGGAAAATAGTTCAAATTGTTGACTTATGACAGTTGTCACTATAGGCACCACCTATACAGGAGAGTAGGTTGTGAAGGACACCGTTGGTTATCAAACACTGTGTATACCATCCCTCACTACTCTACAGTGAAGGACACCGTTGGTTATCAAACACTGTGTATACCATCCCTCACTACTCTACAGTGAAGGACACCGTTGGTTATCAAACACTGTGTATACCATCCCTCACTACTCTACAGTGAAGGACACCGTTGGTTATCAAACACTGTGTATACCATCCCTCACTACTCTACAGTGAAGGACACTGTTGGTTATCAAACATTAATGTATACCATCCCTCACTACTCTACAGTGAAGGACACCGTTGGTTAACAAACATTAATGTATACCATCCCTCACTACTCTACAGTGAAGGACACTGTTGGTTAACAAACATTAATGTATACCATCCCTCACTACTCTACACTGAAGGACACAGCTGTTGGTTAACAAACATTAATGTATACCATCCCTCACTACTCTACAGTGAAGGACACTGTTGGTTAACAAACATTAATGTATACCATCCCTCACTACTCTACAGTGAAGGACACAGCTGTTGGTTAACAAACATTAATGTATACCATCCCTCACTACTCTACAGTGAAGGACACTGTTGGTTAACAAACATTAATGTATACCATCCCTCACTACTCTACAGTGAAGGACACTGTTGGTTAACAAACATTAATGTATACCATCCCTCACTACTCTACAGTGAAGGACACCGTTGGTTATCAAACATTAATGTATACCATCCCTCACTACTCTACAGTGAAGGACACCGTTGGTTATCAAACATTAATGTATACCATCCCTCACTACTCTACAGTGAAGGACACCGTTGGTTATCAAACATTAATGTATACCATCCCTCACTACTCTACAGTGAAGGACACCGTTGGTTAACAAACATTAATGTATACCATCCCTCACTACTCTACAGTGAAGGACACTGTTGGTTAACAAACATTAATGTATACCATCCCTCACTACTCTACAGTGAAGGACACAGCTGTTGGTTAACAAACATTAATGTATACCATCCCTCACTACTCTACAGTGAAGGACACTGTTGGTTAACAAACATTAATGTATACCATCCCTCACTACTCTACAGTGAAGGACACAGCTGTTGGTTAACAAACATTAATGTATACCATCCCTCACTACTCTACAGTGAAGGACACTGTTGGTTAACAAACATTAATGTATACCATCCCTCACTACTCTACAGTGAAGGACACAGCTGTTGGTTAACAAACATTAATGTATACCATCCCTCACTACTCTACAGTGAAGGACACCGTTGGTTATCAAACATTAATGTATACCATCCCTCACTACTCTACAGTGAAGGACACCGTTGGTTATCAAACATTAATGTATACCATCCCTCACTACTCTACAGTGAAGGACACCGTTGGTTATCAAACATTAATGTATACCATCCCTCACTACTCTACAGTGAAGGACACCGTTGGTTAACAAACATTAATGTATACCATCCCTCACTACTCTACAGTGAAGGACACTGTTGGTTAACAAACATTAATGTATACCATCCCTCACTACTCTACAGTGAAGGACACAGCTGTTGGTTAACAAACATTAATGTATACCATCCCTCACTACTCTACAGTGAAGGACACTGTTGGTTAACAAACATTAATGTATACCATCCCTCACTACTCTACAGTGAAGGACACCGTTGGTTATCAAACATTAATGTATACCATCCCTCACTACTCTACAGTGAAGGACACCGTTGGTTAACAAACATTAATGTATACCATCCCTCACTACTCTACAGTGAAGGACACTGTTGGTTAACAAACATTAATGTATACCATCCCTCACTACTCTACAGTGAAGAACACCGTTGGTTAACAAACACAAATAGATTCTATATTTATTAAGTGTAATTTTCATCAAATAATTCTTCCTTTGCAACAATTCAATTAAATTCAATTCAATTAAATTCAATTAAATTCGATTAATGACGCCGATCAGTAAGCGTCCGTGTTTATATATGGGACGACTGTTGTCAGTTTTGTCACGCTCCAACGGTACTGATAGGCTTATTCCACTTAGGGTCTTGATGTACAGTGGTCTACGTCCTCGGCTCACAACATATGGAGGCAAGCTGAATCGAGCAGTATGGCTGAGCACGTTTCGTTTCACCTGATGCTTCTGTTCTCGTTGCAGCGTGTCCTTGAGAGTCTGCTATCTGTAGTGTGTTGCGTGCGGGTGAAGGTCAGTGGTTAACCTCGCGGGACCTCGATAAGCTTAAGTGCAGGTTAACTGTAGCCGGTCACCTCAATTTTGTCACTATCCAAGCAAAGTCAGCAGCTCCAGTGGCGTGAGTTTAACGCAGAAAGCATATAAATATCGTAACTAACACAATAGTTTGAAAAAATTAATAAACTCATTCTGGAGTTTCAATACTAAATTTATTATACATTATGATAATTTGACTCATATTTCTAGCAAGGTTTACTGGAGAGTGTCGTACAGGCGTCAAGGCATGAGTTCAAGTTCAAGTATGTTTATTGAGACAAGAAAAAAATACATCTCAAAGGGATAGAGTAGCTTAGGCTATTTCTACCCCCTTCATTATTGCCAATAGCATTTGGTGTTCCCAGGCGGTTCCCTTGGTATCCAAGTACCAAGGCATGAGCGTCTGGCAGACACACTAAGGTGTACTCGGGGCCAGTAGGTGGTTGCTGCCGGCAGTACCTCAGTGGGCACCAGGCACATAGGATCACACAGGTGCGTCTCTAATCCGTCTCTCTCTCTCTCTCATCTTAATTTATAGCTGCTGACTCGTTTAATGTAGGTCATTATAAATATCTTGTGTATGCCAAGATGCTCTTAGTTATATAATATTTGTCTGAGAAACGCAAAATATAAGTTTGGCCTTTGCTCTACAGGCCTACCTAAAAATGGCTCGTGGATTAATCGAAGACATTGAGGTTTTGCAGGCTGAGTGATTATTTCTTTATATATATATATATATATATATATATATATATATATATATATATATATATATATATATATATATATATATATATGTCGTACGTAGTAGCCAGAACGCACTTCTGAGCCTACTATGCAAGGCCCGACTTGCCTAATAAGCCAAGTTTTCCTGAATTAATATATTTTTTCTAATTTTTTTCTTATGAAATGATAAAGCTACCCATTTCATTATGTATGAGGTCAATTTTTTTTTATTGGAGTTAAAATTAACGTAGATTCTTGCCCGAAACGCATTGCGTAATAGTGGCTTTAGGCATTGTATGTACTAGCTCTATCTATATATCAATCCATTAATGTAACATCACTTGTATGTATATACCTTACCTGAATAAACATCTGAATCTGAATCTGAATCAGATATATGACCGAACCTAACCAACCCTACCTAACCTAACCTAACCTATCTTTATAGGTTAGGTTTGGTTAGGTAGCCCAAAAAGGTAGGTTAGGTTAGGTTAGGTAGGTTAGGTAGTCGAAAAACAATTAATTCATGAAAACTTGGCTTATTAGGCAAATCGGACCTTGCATAATAGGCTGAGAAGTGAGTTCTGGCTACTAGGTACGACATATATATATATATATATATATATATATATATATATATATATATATATATATATATATATATATATATATGTCGTACCTAGTAGCCAGAACGCACTTCTATGCCTACTATGCAAGGCCCGATTTGCCTAATAAGCCAAGTTTTCCTGAATTAATATATTTTCTCTAATTTTTTTCTTATGAAATGATAAAGCTACCCATTTCATTATGTATGAGGTAAATCTTTTTTTTTTGGAGTTAAAATTAACGTAGATATATGACCGAACCTAACCAACCCTACCTAACCTAACCTAACCTATCTTTATGGGTTAGGTTAGGTCAGGTAGCCGAAAAAGTTAGGTTAGGTTAGGTTAGGTAGGTTAGGTAGTCGAAAAACAATTAATTCTTGAAAACTTGGCTTATTAGGCAAATCGGGCCTTGCATAGTAGGCTGAGAAGTGCGTTCTGGCTACTAGGTACGACATATATATATATATATATATATATATATATATATATATATATATATATATATATATATATATATATATATATATATATATATATATATATATATATATATATATATCGAATTCAAATCTTATACTTACTATGATTAAGTAATAAGTATAAGATTAATATATAATCTTATACTTACTAACTCTGTAAGCATTGTTCTAGTTGTTTTGATCACTTGACAAATTTACCTGACTACAGGAGCTAGAGCCTTCAGTTATGACTATTGTTGTCTTACTTATTGTGTCATAATATTGTCCGCACATTATGTCACTTGTGGAGCTTTGTAATACCATTGTATTCTTGGGGCTGCCATTGTTATGGTTCCATATTATTGTTATGGTTCCATATTATTTTTATGGTTCCATATTATTGTTATGGTTCCATATTATTGTTATGGTTCCATATTATTGTTATGGTTCCATATTATTATTATGGTTCCATATTATTATTATGGTTCCATATTATTGTTATGGGTTCCATATTATTATTATGGTTCCATATTATTATTATGGTTCCATATTATTATTATGGTTCCATATTATTATTATGGTTCCATATTATTGTTATGGTTCCATATTATTGTTATGGTTCCATATTATTGTTATGGTTCCATATTATTATTATGGTTCCATATTATTGTTATGGTTCCATATTATTGTTATGGTTCCATATTATTGTTATGGTTCCATATTATTGTTATGGTTCCATATTATTGTTATGGTTCCATATTATTGTTATGGTTCCATATTATTGTTATGGTTCCATATTATTATTATGGTTCCATATTATTATTATGGTTCCATATTATTGTTATGGTTCCATATTATTATTATGGTTCCATATTATTGTTATGGTTCCATATTATTATTATGGTTCCATATTATTGTTATGGTTCCATATTATTGTTATGGTTCCATATTATTGTTATGGTTCCATATTATTATTATGGTTCCATATTATTATTATGGTTCCATATTATTATTATGGTTCCATATTATTATTATGGTTCCATATTATTGTTATGGTTCCATATTATTATTATGGTTCCAGAATATTGTTATGGTTCCATATTATTGTTATGGTTCCATATTATTATTATGGTTCCAGAATATTGTTATGGTTCCAGAATATTGTTATGGTTCCACACTACTGTCATGGTTCCACACTACTGTTATGGTTCCACACTACTGTTATGGTTCCACACTACTGTTATGGTTCCACACTACTGTTATGGTTCCACACTACTGTTATGGTTCCACACTACTGTTATGGTTCCACACTACTGTTATGGTTCCACACTACTGTTATGGTTCCACACTACTGTTATGGTTGTAGGTGTGTATTTATTATTACCTTCACAGTCGGAGTTATCATATCCAGTTTTATTTGATCTGTACAACTCCTTCTCCTCAATGTCCATATCTTTATTATCAAGTGACAGTTGTCAGGGAATATTGCATTTGTTACGAGTCGTGATAACTTGTTTACAAGAGTGCAGTTACTTCTGTCTCACTCTTATGTCTCAAGTCTTTGAATTCGATTCACTTGCTTACGATTTCGTTACCATTTACATTCATTACTTTGAAATTTACGGTGTCACTGCTTTCTATTTCTTTGGTTTGCTAATTCCTCCATAATTATGGGGGGGCAGTTGTGCACAATTTGAGGGAGGGATAATTATAAGCCAAATGGGGCATGGGGTGAGGTGGATGGGATAGGTTAGAAGTGGGTTAGGGTGAGATTACTTGAGATGATGGGAAATGGGATGCTGTAGACGTGGGGGGGGGGGGGAGGGATAAGTTCCGTCAGAGAGAATAAGGCATAAGAACATTTCAACCACAAGTGCGGCAATTATTTGCAATGTTAACCAAAATATATATATATAATTTCTTCTGTCCTATGTGGACAGAATTTGTGTTTTGTTAGTGTAGCGAGTTATTGTAGTGATCGCAGTTACGATAACCGGGATCGCAGATAACATGACTGATAACGTGGCTAGTAAGTGGATGATAACCTTTAGTATGAGAATGATGGCGTTTTGAATGTACTCGTGCTTAGTGTGACTACGTTTGTAGGTAGGTTATGACAGTGTTTACGATTAGTATGACAGTGTTTACGATTAGTATGACAGTGATCACGATTAGTATGACAGTGATGACGATTAGTATGACAGTGATCACGATTAGTATGACAGTGATGACGATTAGTATGACAGTGATGACAGTGATGACGATTAGTATGACAGTGATGACGATTAGTATGACAGTGATGACAGTGATGACGATTAGTATGACAGTGATGACGATTAGTATGACAGTGATCACGATTAATTTGGCCGTGATTACGATTTGTCTGTGATATGACTGTGGCACCTGCGTCCCTATCTATCCTGACACAAGCCTGTGTCCTTATCCACACGGACACTGACACCCGCCCGTGTCCATATCCACACGGACACTGATACCCGCCCGTGTCCTTATCCACATGGACACAGACACACGGCCGTGTCCTTATCCACATGGACACAGACACACGGCCGTGTCCTTATCCACACGGACACTGACATGCGGCCGTGTCCTTATCCACACTGACACGCGGCAGTGTCCTTATCCACTCGGACACTGACACCCGCCCGTGTCCTTATCCACTCGGACACTGACACCCGCCCGTGTCCTTATCCACACGGACACTGACACCTGCCCGTGTCCTTATCCACATGGACACAGACACACGGCCGTGTCCTTATCCACACGGACACTGACACGCGGCCGTGTCCTTATCCACACGGACATTGACACACGGCCGTGTCCTTATCCACACGGACATTGACACACGGCCGTGTCCTTATCCACACGGACATTGACACACGGCCGTGTCCTTATCCACACGGACACTGACACACGGCCGTGTCCTTATCCACACGGACACAGACACACGGCCGTGTCCTTATCCACACGGACACAGACACACGGCCGTGTCCTTATCCACACGGACATTGACACACGGCCGTGTCCTTATCCACACGGACATTGACACACGGCCGTGTCCTTATCCACACGGACACAGACACACGGCCGTGTCCTTATCCACACGGGCACAGACACACGGCCGTGTCCTTATCCACACGGACATTGACACACGGTCGTGTCCTTATCCACACGGACACTGACACACGGCCGTGTCCCTACATACACGGATACATACCTACGTCCTTAATTACAGAAACACGGACGCACACCTGTCTATATACCTGCTCTCACAATGATACACACCTGTGTCCCCCCCTGGTAATTGGGGCCTGAAGGCTTAGTAGACAGCGCTTGGGATTCGTAGTCCTAAGATTCCGGGTTCGATCCCCGGCGGAGGCGGAGACAAATGGGCAGCGTTTCTTTCACCCTGATGGTCTGTTCACCTAGCAGTAAATAAGTACCTGGGAGTTAGACAGCTGCTACGGGCTCCTTCATGGGGATGTGTAACAAATAGCAGGTCTGGTCGAGGACCGGACCGCGGGGACTCTAAGACCCGAAATCATCTCGCGATAACCTCAAGATGATAACCTCCCTAAACGGACACGGATACACGGCCGTGTGAGAGAGCGGTGGAGCAGAGGGCCGTGATAATGCTTGGCAAGTGATAAACATGACCAAGGTCCATGACACAGCTCCAAGG